ATATCTAAAAAAAGATTAAATATAGGAAATTAACTTATTTTGAATCCATCAGATTAATAATGAATGAAAAAAAATAAATTGATGCACAAAACAAAGATGCAAAAAAAAAAAAAAATATTAACTTATTTTCTTTTTTGTTATCTTATGATTTGTTCATTTTCCAACCATTAGAAAAGTCGGAAGAAATAAGAGTTCTCTTTGATGAAAAATTCTTCCTTTCTTTTTTTTCTCTAAGATTTTTTTTAAAGAATGCTATTTTTAAAAACGAGTAACGATTTCTTTTTTGAATTTAGTTAATGTGTTTGTGTTTAACTTTAATTTACTCTCATACTATATTATCATTATAGATATTGATGAGATAGAATTCGACCATCCAAATCTATCAGTAATTACAATAACAAAACAAAATGATCCATCGGAATAGAAATGAATGTAAAATAAATAAATTGGTGCACAAAACAAATATCTAAAAAAAGATTAAATATAGGAAATTAACTTATTTTGAATCCATCAGATTAATAATGAATGAAAAAAAATAAATTGATGCACAAAACAAAGATGCAAAAAAAAAAACAAAATATTAAATGATGCTGCCCAGGATCGAACTGGGGACCTTTAGTGTGTAAGACTAACGTGATAACCACTACACCACAGCATCTCTTGTGACCGAATGCATTTAATATTAATAATAATAATATAGGATCTATCCCAAAGATTGGAAATTGGTGGTGTGAGTGGCCAAATTCCCTCTCGATTTCTTCCTCCACACGCGCGCTACCACTACCACTACCGGTATCGTCTTCCTAATCAGCGGCAGCTTCTTCCGCAGCAGCGGATGGGGCTTCGCTTCATGGTGGTCTCCAAGGGATGGGTTTCTACGAAAATCCCGCCTCCTCCTCTCCTCCCCAATCCATGCTCCTCTTTTTCCTGTAAGTCCGCCACTCACTATCTTCTTCTATTCTTTCTCTTCTTTCTTCGAGTGCAACTCTTCTTGAAACTCTAATTCACGAATTACTCGGAGTTGCCGTTACTTGCGAGGAAGAATTTTTTGGCGGATGCTCCGAGTAAACGCAAATTTCTGTTAGGATTAGGGTTTTTACTAGCACAACTTTGATTGATTTATCCACTACTCTTTACGGCTCATATGTAGATAAAGGTATCGTTGTCTTTCTTCTATGGCTGTACGCGATAATTGTTGTGATTCCTTGATGGGGTTATCGTGCCGATCATCTCCTTGTTAGAGTTCACATATAAGTTGGGCCTTTTCCTATTAATTTAAGCTTTCTTGTATCTGATATTAGCGGTTTCCTCTTTTTCCTTGTTTTCCCACTCACTTAGTTTCTTGTGGTAGCATCAGTTACTGCAATGGTGGTGGTGGCGGCTTGGTAACTGTGATAGCAGCAATAGCGATGGTAGCATCACTAGTGGCTGGTAGCTGCTACAGTGGTGGCAACAATAGTGTTGGTTACAATCGTGTGTGAGGTGATCGCATTTCACATGGTAATGGCTGCAACAGCTTGGTGATTTATGTCCATCATTGTGATGGTGGTGGTGGTAGTGGCATGTCGATGGAGTTGAATCGATGACAATAGCAGGCACTGGTGGCAATAGTTGCAACAAAGGTGGCGGTTTTATTCATGATTATGGTGTTGCTGGGTACAATGAGGTTGATGATCATGGCACAGTGATGGAGGCAACGGTTTGAGACTCAAATCTGAGCTTCGATTGTGATGCAGAACCATTTTGATCGAAAATTAGTTTAGGACGTCTTTTGCAATTTTTTTTTTAGTCACATGATGACATCGGCTACAATCCTATTTTAGTTATCAAGGCTGTCCAAGAAAAAAACAAAGAAAACTAGATGAAAGGAAGAATAGAATTATAGGTTTGATTGAACTTTCTGAAGAATGATATGTTTGATTGAAGATAATCATTCTAATAAGGAACTCTTTTCTCTTGATTCAAGGATATACAAAGAGGAACTATATCAATCGTATACTTTATCAACTTGAAATATTGTATGACAAAACAAATAGAAAATACATCTACCTTATAAAAGGAAAGAGAAAGTGATTAATATGTTTTTGTTTGTGGAATACAATTTTTTTAAACTAATTTCATTTTGCAATTTATTATCTGTTGTTTTCTTATTTTGAAAATGATTTGCTGTATCAGGATATAATTTGCAAGAAAATGCACTCGATGCCAATGCGATGTCATCATTTGTGTCATTCTAATATGTTTCATGAGCATAAACTCTGTGAATTATCATATAGGGCTTTCACCAACCAATTGATTATGAAGTTCTCATGGCATACCTCTTTTTTTTTTTTCTTATTGTAACTGTGGCTTGTAAGTTAGCATGTGTTGGAAGGAATAGTTAGGAACTATTTGCCATGGCTGCAATTGTCTTGACATAGATAATCTTTTATCATAAAATCATGTTTCCTGAAATGTGTGTGATAATCATTATGTAATATATTTTTGAAGGCCTTGTTTCTTTGTTGTTTCCTATACGATAGTCGATATATGTAATAGATATGTAACAGTATGTGTTTGTATTTTGTTACTTGCAGCTGTATGCTTACTTCACACAGTGGGAGTTAGAGAGGTTTACGTTAAATTTGTAAGACTGCCTTTGCAGTGTACTGTTTTAGATGGAGGTAAATTACTACATACATCTACATTGAGAGCAAATGCCTCATTGTTTGGAGAAATACAGAGTGTTGAGGGAATCTCTGATAATGCTCCAGAGGTAAAGGTCTATCTTATTATGTGTCTTTGGTTATGTACTTATCCTTATGATTTAGCTCATGCTGCTGATACCAAATTTTGTTTTCTTCTAAATATCAGGTGAAATTGGATGGATGGTCTTCCAGAATTTGCCTTGATTTGGACAAACAAATTCCAATGATGGAAGCTTCATCTGCTTTTCATGCAAGTTTAACAGTGAAAACCCCTTTAGAATTTAACTTATTAATGGAAAATATTGATAGGATAGAAGATCTGATTGCTGGAGCAGACATGGTGAGGTTGGAAAGAGATATTCTGACTCATATAGGAAGTCTTGGAGCTCTGAAATTATTTCATACCTCCTGTATCTCCAGAGCCCTCATGGGAAGCACTGTGGTATACTCAGATTTCATGGTAAATAAGCATCTTAGTGACTGTCCCTCTGAGCCTCTGTTGGATGACAAAAAGGGTAGCACAATTGTCCACTCTGGTAAAAAGGAAAAGAGAAAACTGAGAAGAGCAAGAGCAATGGAAAAGGCTTCCAAGATGTCTTCTCCACAAATATTTTCAAAGGGTAGACACTTACTGAAGAGGTCTTTGTTGTTGGAAAAAACTGTTTCAAGAAAACTTCTTGGCCATTTTGAGTCAGAAAACAGGAGGGAAGTGATTGCTAGAAATGAATCAGAGATGTCAATGGGAGTTAAGGTACTTATCATGCTGCATGGATTTGAAATGCTTCAGTTGTGCAATTCTTAAGAAGGACAAGGTTAATGAGTTTAATTTGATGTACAGGAAATTGCAAACCTAGAAAAAATATGTAAAGAGCTGGAGGAAGAAATTGGGCGACCACCCAGTTATACGAGATGGGCAGAAGCAGCAGGAGTTGATATGAGGACATTGCAATGGCGTTTGCAATTTGGTTGGTATTGCAGAGATACGCTTATAAAAAGTACCCGTTCCTTAGTCATGTTTATTGCGAAGAACTATCGAGGAATGGGGATTGCCTTTGATGATTTACTTCAGGTTCAGAAGATGCATCTTTGTACATTTGTTAAGAAGTTGGATAGTTATCTTTGAATATGTCTTTATGTCCATGCAAACGTACCACAGGCAGGGTATGTGGGTGTCCTTAATGGCGCGGAAAGGTTTGACATGAAGAAGGGGAATCGCTTTTCAACCTATGTACAATATTGGATCAGGAAATCAATATTGGCAATGGTCGCACGGCATTCCAGAATGATCCAAGTTCCTGTAGGTCATCTTAAGGATATTGAAGATTCAGTACTTTTCGGCATTAGTTTCAGCTAATTTTATTGTGACTTATATAAAACTTTCATTTTTGTTTTTGACTTTTGTAGGTGAGAATGGAAAGCATGATTAAGCGGATACAGAAAGCTAGGAGAACACATTATAACAGGGAAGGAAGACAGCCACAAGACGAGGAGATAGCAAAGTTAACTGGTTTATCTCTAGCTAAAGTTAGACTCGCTAGTAAATGCTCTAGAGCTGTAGGTTCAATTGAGCAGGAAATCAGGGATGGTTGGCGCACAAAATTCAGGGTATGGAAGCTAACCCCAAACTTAGTTTGGAATGATTAATTTATTAGTTAATCTTTGAATATCTATTTGATGCTTTGATCAGTTTCTTTGCTTTGTAGTGTTTGTCATGTTTCTGGGTTGTCTGATGGAATTTGATGTGTATCCAAATAGTGCAGTCTATATTTGTCATTGAAGTGTATAGAAGCAGATTTCACTGCTATTTGTTTCCTGCATTATGCATGTTATAGCTTTGTATATGCAATTCACAGCTTTAAGAATCTTCCTTGTCCTTTCATTTTAGTCAAGCTGAAAGCTTTTGCATGTATGCATCTTTTCTCCTTCAAATTTTAGTTTACATATTTTGATGCCTGCCTTGCTTTTGGCACTTCGATAATTTCATTCTGCCAAACATCAATTAAGAGCATAATTTGCTTGGATTTCTTTGAAGGAACTGTAGGTTGGCCCTTTCTTATTGTCTTTATGGATCTTTTTACCAAGAGTATGCTTAACTGGAATTAACTCTTTATCTGACCACAAATTTTCATTTGAATGAGAGCTATATACAAGTGTTGGATTGAGAGTTGGGATTTAGATGGAGAGCCATGGTGCCATGACAATGTTGTGACTTGGTGATAAGGGTTTGAACCAAGGAAATAGCCTATCTTCTTAGTTCTTACAGGTGTGAAGTTTTGTACATTAACACTCCTAATCCTAATATTGGTGGAAAATTTGCGCACTGACAGCCCCTTTTTGTTGAGAATATTTGATAAATTTCAGTATATTGTCATCTATCTACATGCATTGTATTATCTTATTATATAGGCTGGTCTCTAGTTTCTTTCATGACCTTCTGGTTTCACCTAAAAGCATGTTTATAAACTAAAAGATGTTAAGTGTATTTTAAAGAAGTAAAGGTGGTTTGATTGAAGTAAATCTTGTACTATGGCTTACTGTCACTGGTCCATTTTATTTCAGTTGTAAGTTTATTTAGTTCTGACCTTGAGAAAGTATACAACGTAGGACCTCTAAAAAGCAAAGCTATAATAATTTAAGCATCTCTATTTACTTTTCTGATTCATTTTCTTAAGCAAAGCTTTATGGATTTTTGTAATGCTTTTGTGGCTTCATGGACTTAAAATTCTTTTTTTACTGTTTTCTCTTGGATGTAGCATGACTTCTCATTAAAAATATGATTTATTCAATTTGGAAAAAAGTAGACTTTTTTACAACTGAGAGTCTGAAATTTGGAGAGGTATACAATGTATGTCCACTTAATACATGACATTGAATCAAAATTTTCAATCAGGAAATTATAGCAGATGCATCGGTTGGAACTCCAGATGAGGTCATAGAGAAGCAGCACTTGAGACAAGATGCTTTGAATCTTCTTCAAACATTGCATCCCAGAGAAAGGCAAGTATTAGCTCTTCGATATGGTTTAGAAGACGGGAGTTGCAAGTCACTTGAAGAGGTTGGAAGGCTTTGCCATGTAACCAAAGAATGGATACGGAAAATAGAGAAGGAAGCCTGGTCAAAGATTAGAAACGAAGAGATGCCAAAAAAATTGTCACACTACAGACAGTTGTAGTCTCCCATTAGAAAGAAAGATATGCCTTTGGGCCTATACCATCCAAGTTGAGTTTGACCTATATATAATTATAGTCGATATAACCTTTTGGGCATTCTTTTCTTCGATACAAGAACAGTATGTCTTTCCTGGGAAGGTGTAATTCAAATAATTGTAAACATGGGTTTGATCAAAGGTCCTGGCTTACATTTCAAATCCTCAACACATATAACTAAAAGAGTAGTGTTATTCTTTTACAAGTATTTTCTGGTTAATCTTATGCATTGATGAAAGATTTTATATCAGGTCGGTTTGTTTTAATCTCTGCAAATCTTCCCCCTTTTTTTTTCTATATCTGTTGTCTATGTTTTCCCAAAAAAATGCTAAGAGAACCATGAGACTTGATTCCTAAAGCATATTTGCAGGATTCATACTAGAGTTGCGCAATTTTTATGGTTGATGATGCCCAAGTGCAACTTGTTTTTGCAGGATATGATGTTAATTCTCTAAAATTTAGTTTAGAGGCAGTCTTTGGAGCCAGATGTGGATACCTATGTTATTAAATAGGGTAGCAGTAGCGAATTAAGCGTTATGCATTACCTAAAGCTGAAAGGGGAGGCAAACATAGAATGTACTTGCTCATATGATGAAGATTTATGGGACGGATGATGACATAGAATGTCATCAGACGACATTACAAACCTATAACCAGATTAATACAGAAAAGCTTCTCTTTTAGAACAATTATAGAACATCTAAAAGTATTATCAAAGTAAGTAAGAGTTTGAGTGGAAGTGTTTCTCATGAAAATATGAATGGAATACATATGGCTGTTACTTTGCAGTGCACACAGAAGCAGCAAGATGAGAGGCAGCGAATATGAAGGTGGACATTGGAAATCCTCTGCTCTTTATGTAAATTTATCTGGTTCAATGTTAACTTGTTCATTCCAGTAAATCCTTATCACAGGTATCTTTTAGGTGACAGTTGAGCTGCTTTATGGTGCATTATATTTGATTGCATACTTCAACTTTTTTCTGCTTTTTTTGCTTTGAAAGTCTGCATAACATTTAAACAGAAGTCTGCATATCTTATTGTATAGTCAGGGTTATCATGTGTCTGATGGAAAACTCTACTTCGAATCTGATTGGAAATCTGTTGTCGTTCAGGAAAATGATAGTGCTGCTGTCAACTCATCCCGCCCACCTACGTTGAGAAACGTACCTAAGCAAAAGTATCAACAAACATCAATCCTTTGCAGTCGCCGGTAGGAAAATAAGGTCTATTCCTCACCTTCATCTGTTGGCATCTTCAAAGGGAAGGCCTAACACGCATGTACCGAAGCCAAGTGGTGTGAGGTAACTTCCCTAGCTCTTCCTTTTGGATGAACGACGTAGGAGGTCATACCTGATTGTCCCAAACAAGCCCAGAGCTATAGTAAAACATATCATCACAACTATTCTTGTTGTCCTCAATAATCCCTTGATAGGGTAAGAGACACTCTAACTTATTGTTGGCATCATGCCATCGATCGCTTAAGTATAAAACTCAAAGCCCCTAAGCCAAACAAGGGTAAGCGGGATCTATCTAAACCCTTCTGATCTCTACCAAACCTCCTCCACCTACTCTATTGACTTGAGCTTCGGAGGGATCGGATTGGGATATCCCCTGGACTTATGCAGGACCAAGGCACATATAAGAAGCACCTCGGAGCGATGTTGTATGCTTCCAAACAAGGCTAAGGCGCACCTCGAGATGACCTCGAGCCTCCTTTAACAGATAAGTCGCTCCTCGAAACGATCATGAATCAGTCATTGAGATCCTGTAATACTTCGAGAGTCCACCTACCATATCGAATGCTCGTTTGGGTCATCACGCTTGTCCCGACACTGGCCCCTAAAACGTAACTGTGTCTTCGAGACCGAACCAAACTATGTTGACTCTCTAGCCAACGACATCGAGGAAAAAGCATTTTGACACTAAAATAATGACTCAAATGTCATAAGAACATCCACCCACGACTCCTCCCGACAAACGCTCCAACAAGGAAGCATCGTCGCTGGCACTCAACGCCTTTGTGCAAGGAGGACAGCCACCTTTCTTTCCTCACGTGGATGCCTTCGGCATAAACAGGGAGACATTACTAGCGTCTTTTCACTTATCTGTTCAACAGATAAATGTATAATCGGATAGATTGTTCAATAGTAACAACAATAATAGATCTTAAATGGTGAGCTATATTAATCTTTTGTCATCATCGAACATGTTGTACTCAGAGAAAATAAACGAAGAACAAAACCCAAAAGCTGGAATCTAAAAAAATAATTTAACCAAATAGATCGCTTGACTCGGTTTATTTTGTTTTGGAACTTTTGGCTTATCAAGATATAATAAATTACCAATTAACAACATTGGTTTCAGCGAAGTCCATCCGATAACTACCAAAATCTTAGCTGCTTTGTGATATATCTATATATGTATTGCTTTGTGATTTCAGATGACTCTTCTTCTTGGATTGCTGCCCTCGTTAGCACTGGAGCTACGACAATTTCCTTTCCTTCAGCCGGCGGTGCCGGACGAGTGTTACGAACCGCATATGCATATAAATATAGCTCGCTCGCCACGATACCAATCACCGTACTCTAATAGGCTTCGTGAAACATGGCCTTCCGTGATCTCCGCAATCCCTTCTTCTTCCTACTTCTCGCATTGGCTACTTCGCCAGTAGTTCTTGCAGGTGATCCCGACATCACTTCGGACTTCGTGCTCCCACCGAACACCAACGCCGTCAATGGCAGCTTCTTCACCTTCACCGGCATGCGCTGCCTGCTGGACTCGTCCCCGCCGACCAACTTCACCGTGCTGAAAGCTACAATGGCGGAGTTCCCGGCCCTCGGCGGGCAGAGCGTCTCGTATGCTGTGCTCTCCTTCCCTGCTGGCTCGGTCAACCCCCCTCACACTCATCCCCGCTCCGCCGAGCTTCTCTTCCTCATCGACGGATACCTCGAGGTCGGATTCGTCGACACCGCGAACAAGCTCTACACGCAGACGCTGCAGCCGGGGGACTTGTTTGTGTTCCCAAAGGGACTCGTTCACTACCAGTATTGCAACCGCAAGACTCCTGCAATCGCCATTTCTGCCTTTGGGAGTGCAAGTGCTGGCACTGTATCGGTTCCCAAGGCTGTGTTCACGACGGGCATCGATGACGGCATCCTTGCCAAATCGTTCAAGACCGATGCCGCCACCGTTGATAAGATCAAGGCTGGACTTGCATGAAACACCAGAATTCAAATCTCGTGGAAGCAGTCTTACAAATTGATTTGATCGAGTCGTTCAAGAGCAGGCATTGTCTTCTCTTAGTATATCAATAAAATTACGAGCGTGTTTCATCATGAACTATGATTGCTTGGAAAATTCAACTTGTTGATGTTATACCATGCACTTCTGTTACTCGATGCTATAAATATGGTTTCTTCATTGAAGATCCACATTCAATTTTTGATGAAGTAAATTTTGGTTTACATGATTAGATTTAAGACAGTCATTTTTTCTTCTTCATATTTGGTTGTCAAAGTATTGATCTCGTACAAACAGCATTATATATATATATATATATATAATGTATACTTTTCGATGTTATCTAAAAAAACCTTTATCTGATCGGTAAGACATCGTCCTCGAATCTAAAAATCATAATGATATCAATTTGCAAGAAGAACTAGATTTGTCTTCTCTTCTCTTTCTATTATTGACAGGACCACTATAATCAATAGATTAAGGACAATAAGAAATAAGAGAAGATTTATAATCTCTCAATAATTTGCTCATGTGACTAAAGAAAAATGAGAGAATATATGTAATCTCTCAATAATATCATATATCTATATTTTCATACCCAGTTTCTAGATAATTCTGTCTATTTATAAGCAAAAGTAAATTATCTAAAATAAATAATTATTAGAATCGCTCCCACCAAGATTGTTTATTAAGAAATCTTATCATAATTAGATTATCATTTTATTGGTTGATAATCATCATCAAAATTTTTAATCAGATTTATAATCTATCTTACATAATTAGAAGAGAAATGTATTGAGCTCGGTACCTCATCTTATTGCTTATTAGAAGTAGACGTGATAATTACAAAAAGAAGAATGGAAAAGATAGAAAAGATGCACTTAAATCGAAAGATCATCGGAGACGTCATGCCTCCGCTAATTGACGCTGTTCTTCAATGGCCTTAGAGGAAGTGAAAGAAGAGCATGTGTCGACATGCCAATGGAACACTTGCCTGTTTATAGGCAACTCAGCAATCCTAAAGAGAATAGGAAAGCCCTACTTCTTCATTTCAAATAACAGTAAAACAAAAAAAAATCTTTCTTCGTCACTTACCTCTCGACCCACCATGGGGCCCACCACGACCCGACGTAATACCACTATGACATCCAATAGAAAGGCGGGTATCTTCGAGCCCTAATATGAAACGCGTAAGAAATTATTCTTTGATTTGAAAGAACGATGTAGTCTGCCCACCTCATTTACCTTGCTAATTGACTATGGGCCCAACATGACTAGACTACTATAGTGGCTCGTGTTGCATAGGACCAATTTGACTTGTGACATTAGAAATCATCCTAACTTTTTCGATCGAAGTCAGAATCATTATTATTATTCTATTTCAGAAAGCTCTCTTTGATGTAGATGATAGCAAAGTTATTATAAAAAATTTCAAACTAAAAACCTATTGTTTAGGCAATTTTCAATGTCTATTTTTGAACTAATAAGATCTAATGCATTAGTACTCGCAAGTGGATGGGGCCTCCTAGTATGGGTCCCCTCTCTAGACCCCTTAGTACCCTTGATGTTTGCTAACTTGGACCACTCAAATCAGTCTAGATTAGGTTGATTTCATCGTATCATATTGAAATCATCTTAACTTTAAGTTAGAATCACTATTATGACCTCATTTCAAAATTCTATGCGATTGACTGTAAAATAGACACCAAAGATTTGGACCAAAAAGTCATTATCCAAATAGTCTATATCATCAAATTTTATTGCTTGATATAATAAAAGGTGAGGCAAAAAGAGTATAACACTAGAACCTTCTAAGGAGTCACTTATCCTATTATTACTCTTGCCCAAGGCTTAACTCATTAGTGTTGGTATGATCGCACTCATTCCTCTTTTGTCACCCGACGCCTAAGTGCACATCCTCATCCGTAGCGGGCGAGATATCCTATTGTGGGTATCCTCTCCAAGCCCCCTCACATGTACCTTCGATGCTTGTTGACTTGGATCACCTGAACATGCTCAAATGTGATGGTTTCATGTTGCATGAGGTTGATTTGGCTAGTTGTATTGAAATCATCGTAACTTTTTTGAAATGAAGTCATAATTGTTATTATGACCCATTCCGAAAAATTATCTTTGGGCCTTAAGCATCGAAGATCTCATACCAAAAAAATCATTGTTTGGATATATTTTGATGTCAATTTCTATTGTCAACTTAAAAAAAGAGGCAAAAGGGGGTGCAAAATGAGAACTTCCAAATGAATCACCCATCTTAGTATTATTCTCGCTCTTAGTACACTGAACTTTGGAGTTTTGGTGGGATCTAATACATAAATTTTAATATAATCACACCCATTCCTTTTTAGACCACTCGAATCGACTTGAATGGGGGTGGCTTTGTGTCCCGCAAGGTTAATTTATATAGCTTCTCTACCAAATTAATACAACCACAGATTCATTAATGCAATGAAAGAGGCATGGAGGACTTTTATTAAGTGGACAAAAATCTGCGTGAAAAGAGAGGGGGAAAAACATAATCCAAATATTTATCAAGAACTCAGAAATTAATTTAAATAAGAATATTAGGATGAAACTAATTCAATTATCAAAAATAGGAAGAGGTACGATGAAAATTTTATGCAATAAATACTTCTTATAATAACAAGTCGCTACGAATGTTATAATAGTTTCTTCTATTATTATCGTTGTCATCGTTATCGTCCGTGTTTATCAAAACATTCTTTTACTGGATATTTATTTTACTAAAAATAATAATATTTAGATTAAAGAAATAAGTAAGAAAAAGCAAAATTACACACACGTGTCTTTATTTTCTTAATTAGTACCTTAAATTAACTAAGTATACATCTCTTACAATTAATCTCTATTAGCTATTGTAAGTTAATTGCTATTTGGAACTCTAATATACATTTGTACCCTCTTTTAACTTATTCTGATGTTGAAAATTGGAGTATTTATGTATTTTCAATATTTTATATACCATTTTGACCTGAACAAACTAATATTAACAAATCATTTGCATTTTTGGGATGGTTGTTAATGACTTGTAACATATACGAGATGCTATATTAAAATTTATAATGACAAATATTTGTCATTCTTAAATTTTTACGAGTGTATATATATATATATATATATATATATATATATATATATATATATATTTATATATATATATTCTCATTTTATAGTATGATTTCTCATCAGTTATTTCCCTATATATATATATATATATATATATATATATATATATATATATATTCTCATTTTATAGTATGATTTCTCATCAGTTATTTCCCCATTCAATCAACCAACAAAAAGGGACAAACAAAATGAATGGATCCCAAACAGCAACTTATCACAACAACCTAGTATTACAATTTTCCTGGATCTGCACATTAGATTCTATTGCTATCTGATCCTAGAATGTTTGGTATATCAGAATCGACTATCTCAGCTGCTTGGATAATGATTAGATCAAATTTAACTTGTATTAAGCTTCATTAAGGATAAGTATATGAATTGTGCTTTTAAAACCTCCATGGAACCCTTACTCCACAGACTGCTTTCGTTAGAACCCTCGAAGACTGAGAAGAGATGTTGATTCTGATTGAGAAGGTGCATGCAGTTGGCGTAAAGATGCAGTGATACCATATCATGAACAATCTTATTACCAAAACAGCAAGCCCGAATAAATGAACAGAAACTTGGAGGTACATTCTTCAAAGCACAAGCAACAGTGGCAGCAACAGAAGAAGAAGAAGAAGAAGATGCACGAGGGAAGGAGAAAATGGGAGGTAGAATGGGAAGAACCGTACACCACCTGGTACCAATTAACATACACCAACACCATCATCATCATGTATCGAGATGTGCAGATGCATGGAGTTAATGGCGGCGTTCAGTATCGATCAGATGACGTAGTCGGACCACAAGTTGTGATCCAAGTTCAGCCCCGGCAGGTCCTCGTGGCCCGCTGGGCTGCCGGTGCCCCCCACGAGCCTTGCCGGGTTCCCAACGGCGGTAGTTTTCGGCGGCACGTCGATAAGCACGACGGCGCCGGCCCCGACCTTGGCCCCCTCCCCTACCCTGACGTTCCCTAGGATGGTGGCCCCGGCGCCGACGAGCACCCCGTCGCCGATCTTGGGGTGGCGATCGCCGGTGGCCTTTCCGGTGCCGCCGAGGGTGACGTGGTGGAGGATGGAGACGTTATCGCCGATGATGGAGGTTTCGCCGACGACGATGCCGGTGGCGTGGTCGAGGAGGACGCCGCGGCCGACGCGGGCGGCGGGGTGGATGTCGACTCCGAAGACGTCGGCGACTCGGGACTGGAGAACGAGGGCAAGGGGGCGGCGGCCCTGGGCCCAGAGGAGGTGAGCGGCGCGGTGAGCCTGCAGAGCGAGGAAACCCTTGAAGTAGAGGAGGCAGTGGGAGAAGGAATGGCAGACAGGGTCGCGCTGGCGGGCGGCGAGGAGGTCGGCGACGGTATCGGAGAGGAGAGACGGCGCGGAGGAGAAGGAATGGAGGAAGAGATCGTAGAGGAGGGTGGAGAGGAGGGTTGGGGAGCACAGCTGGTTGGCGAGGTGGAAGGCGAGCGACCGCGGCAGCGACGGGTGGGACAGCACGGTAGCGTACAGGAAGCTCGCCAGCGCCGGCTCCTCCTCCGCGTCCCGGTGCGCCTCCGCCTTTATCTGTGCCCACACCCACGACTCCGCCGGCGGGAACGTAGGGATCGATGACTGTGCGCCATCGGTGTCGGTGGTCGTGACGCCACCTTCTCCTCCTCCACCGCTGCAGCTGCTGCTTCCTTCGGTGTTCATGTGGCCGGCCGTTGGCATCTCTCTCTCTCTCTCTCTCTCGTGTGCATATATATGAGGAGGTTTTCTTCCTTGAGACAATGTCTTCAACCATGTTGGACTTTCGCAGGTGTATGTAAGGAACGAAGACGAGATGTGACGTTGGATTTTGAGATTGATTGTGTGCGTTGGAGAACAAAAATCTTATTATTCCTCACAAAAGATTTTGTTAATTGGATTTGCCGTCCAATAGTGGTTAGTAGACTTAACCTGTGCAGCTTCTATTAATGTTACAGAAGCTTTAGGTGCTGTAGGAACAATTGACCGGCATTAGTGTGATGAGAATGAATGAATCATCAATGAGACTGTGCTTAAAATTTATATTTGTTTAATGTATGAAAGCATTTATAATTAATTACTTGGTAAAATATATACATAATTTAAGAAGGAAAATAAAGAAAATATATATACATAATTGACCTCCATTTCTTGCAACATGCTTCATTTCTTATCCCTTAAATCTCTTGAAGCAGCATCAGCTTGCGTCAATAGCTAGCTTTGTGAGGTTCATTGGATGTGGCCACATTTCCAAGTTCTTACTAGCTTAAAACCATGTGCCATCGCCTTTAGAGTACATTAGAGACATCTCCAACATAAATATTACGAGGCAGATTGCACTCGAAAAGATTATTTTGAGAAGAAAGATGCCACTAAGAAATATTATGTTTATAGAGGAATAGGAACTCCATACTTCAACTCGTGTGATGAAGTTGAAATACTAGTCATACTCCTAACTATTCTTACATGTCCAAAATGTAGAACCAAATGGCCAGTAATATCAAGGTATACTTGCTACTTTGGTTGATAAATCCAAGGGAAATTGATATATATATATATATATATATATATAAAGAAAGAGATGGATGTAATGTTAGACTTTGGAAGATCTAACTCTAACTAATTTATCTCTCTTGAAGAAGGGATAAAAATTCATTATATATCAAGCTATAGGACTACTTCATTTCTAGACAAAAAGTAAACACTAAATTAATAATAAATAAATAAATAAATAATAGATACATCGATAAGAAGAATTTTCATAAATTTACAAGACGACATGACAATATTTTGTGAACGAGGATCAAAATCATTATTATTTTTTATTCCTGAAAATAATCTATCTTCTACATCATCAATAGCAACAAAAAAAAATAGTGAAAATCATTTTTTGCTATTTAATTGGATTTCACTAATAACAATTTGTAGCAGACAATTATCACATACTAAACACAGATGTTGAGTGCGCATCATTACCGACAACTTCTCATGCAAGAAAACCGTCTCCAAGTTCAAGATCTTTAGAGTTTCTAATAACAATGTCAAATACTTGAATGACTAAAAATGTTTGTTTATGATGGATATATATATACATATATATATTTGTTTATTTATTTCTCTTGGCTATGCACACCTAGCTTTCATGCTAAGTTGTTCTACTTGTTTCTATAACATGTTGACCATCTCATGTTTCTTGTATGGTAGTGATGTGATGAACCTTGACGCAAAGAGGGATACATTCGGTGCAAAGTCTCCTACCTTACTCAATGAGTGGGTTCTTCATCCATTGGGCATGCGTAGTGGATGGCTTTCGAGGAAGCTTCATCAACCACCCTTCTAATTACTTTCCTCCTCCATGTTCTTTCTTCTCCATTATAAACCTTTGTTTTTAATTGTAAGACTTAGTCTATTCTAAATTTTCTACACCTTTAAGACTAACTCAATGATGATCATTATCAAGATTTTAATTTTTTTTATAAAAAATAAATGATAAAAACGAGATGTAAGCTTTAGACGTCATGATATATTGTCAAAGTCTTTGTTGAGATTAAATTAACTGATATTTTCAAGATTTTAAATCTTGATATTATACTTTTATTTTTTTAATTACTAATGATAATATTTGATAAAAATAAAAATATAATTTTTTTAGTAGTCTATTTCCCATCAAATGATAACTATCATGAGATCTTAAAAAAATACTTTGGGACTCATTTCAATTTTAAGTTCTCATTCTAAAGAATGTGATTGCATTGTAGAAGTCAGAAAGCATGAGTAACAAAGGTTGGTTGACCACTCTAATTGACTCCAATGAGTATAATTCTCTTATGATTCAAAACTCATAGTAGTAATAAAAAATGTTCTAAATTATTTGTATGAGTGAAAATTTGATACCAATTTGATCAATGCAATATCGACACGTTGAATAGTACACCGACTTCTATTGTTTAATATCATTAAAAATAATCAAAAATTAACAAATGATATACTACCAACCTATATATAATTTGATCTACAACATTAACACAAAGAATGGAAGAAAATCTTTGTGGATTATAAGAAAAAATAGTTGAACATTAAAGAAGTCAATGACACAACTTCTATATTAATGTAGGTCAGAACTTATCTACGACAGAGGATCCGGCTAAAATGACACTCTTACGTAAGCATATGAAGATATACTTATGCAATAGTCACATCCTTTTATTATTAATGGATATAACAATTCAAATCAAGTTTGTCTTTCTTCAAAAAGTCATTTAATAATTTATTATTAAATATCACAAAAAAATGCCACACTAACTAACTCTGACACCAATTCATCCACTACTTCTTGTTTGTTGAATCTGAATCTAAAACAAAGAAATCTAATATAATAATCTTTTTGAGGTGATTTATCTTAGGGTAAACATGATCACGCAAGGAAGACTATTGACACCTTATCACTATGTAATTATATGATTAATACTTCGTCGACATATGATCCATATCTCACCATCACGTGAATAACACAATCTCACCCTCCACATATAACACATCGATTCAAGATTATATCATGTTCTTATTGTTACATGATATACGAACATGAGATAAAGTATGCACTCACTCTCGATATTAGATCACAATCTCCATACATAAAATTATGAGTCGTATTTCAAATCACATTGAAAATAGTCTATATGTAATGCTTATTATATCTAACTTAAAAGACTTGCATCTTTATATATGTGGAAGTAGTAAAATAAAATCACATTGGAAATAACAACAAATAATCGATTCATATTATTAGCTGAAGCGTGTCGGTGTTTTGTCGAAGCCAAAGTACAACAGCATCGCGCAGCGCCGCTACGTTTCCTCCTCTCCTCTTTTATTCTCTCTCTCCCATCCATCCGTCCATCCCTACCTGCGAATCTTTGAACGCCTCTCGCCCTCGAATCTCCCAGTAATATCCCTCTCGAAATTTCCTATTTAGCCCCCGCCCCAAACTCTTCATTAATATTCGCATCCGCGGACAGTATGGACGGCCGTGATCGCCCCCAGCCTCATCGTTGCTCGCATCAGCAAAAATTTTGATAACCCAATCCGTTCCTCTTCCCCCGTGAGGTGCGGGCGCGAGCGATGCGGAGCAGCAGCCATGGAGGTCGTCAGCCTCAAACCCTTCTTTAGGGTTCCTCCCTCCTCTCATCTCCATCAGAACCCTACCCGTTCCCGTTCCACGCTCCTCTCCTATCATTCCCGATCCAAACCCTCGCCCGTCTCCATCTCCTTCGATTCCCCGGCCAGGAGGTCACCCCCCACCGTCGCCGCCCCATCTGTCTCCAGCTCGCCTCGCTTCAACCCGTTCTGCCTCCTCCTCCCCATCCTCCACTCCTTCGGTGGGTTCGTCCTCTCCCGGCTGCCAAAGGTGCGACCTTGGCTGCACGGCGGCCTCGATGGTCGCGACGGGGAGGACGGCTACCTTTGCTGCGGCAGCATCGGGACGCTGCTGATGACCACCACCGCAGCGGTGTCCAAGGCCCGGGTCAGCCCCTTCCTGTGGACGCTGGCCGGGAACCCGACCTTCGTGTCGGGGCTCGTGGCCTGGTCCCTGGCGCAGACCATAAAGATGTTCCTCAACTTCTTTGTGGAGCGGAGGTGGGACCTCGGGATGCTGTTCAGCTGCGGGGGAATGCCGTCGTCCCACTCGGCGCTTTGCACCGCGCTCACGGCTTCGGTGGCGCTATGCCATGGAGTGAGCGACTCGCTGTTCCCCGTGTGCCTTGGCTTCAGCCTCATCGTCATGTATGATGCGATTGGCGTCAGACGGCATGCCGGCATGCAGGCTGAGGTGAGAGTGTTTTGCCTTTCTGTTGGTTGTCTATTTGTTACTAGTTTCTCCATGCAATAATAATAAGAACGATATATGTGGATGCTCTAACATAAACTTAAATTTTTAGGATAGTGCCATTGAGGCAGTAGTTTAGCATTTATCTGTATAGGCTTATCTCCTTTTTCCTATCTTTGCGTTTCAATTCATCCACATAGCTATCTTTTTATTGTGTAATCAGAATTCAATTTTTTTCAAACATATAGAACTAGTGGCTGAATCTTTTCCAACTAACGATTCAAGAGAAGCTTACATTTCCTCTTCTCTTAATGCTATTACCATTAGTCTTCTGCTGCTACGGTCATTGTACTGTTGGATAGTTTGTTTCTTCTACAAGGAGGTTGAGTTGTTTTTTCTGTCAGTTTTGTATAGCCATTTTAGTACCCACCTATTTGTTATAGTTTAGTTAAATGCCACTATATCAGAGTTGAGTGCAAAGGCAACCATTTGATTTTTCAATACACGAGATGACAGATCAGTGCTTTGTGAAATCCATGAATTTCATTCTTAATGCAAAAACTTTGACATTTAGGCTGGGATATCAATCTTAGAGCTTAGCATCTCATGAGTTGATCCTAAAAGATCTTCTCCATGTAATACTCGACTTTATAGCTCTGCAGATCCAAGCTTAGTGCCTCAACAATTATACAAATGAGTTCTGGTTTTCAAATGTTGTTTAAGTTGGTCTTGGACAACCTTTTTCTTATATTGCTGCCTTGTATAGCAAGTTTCTAGTACTCGTATTCATATGAGGCTGCACAATAACTTGTAGATTATAAAGTCAAGAGCCAAACTTACATATGTTGGACTAGATGGTCTTTAGGCTTTGATATTTGTGATTGTTTATCATGAATGTTTTTATTATAAATAGAAACTTAAGACTGCTCTATTTACACTGTGGGCTATTATCATACCATAGATCAACAATTTTTGTTTTTATTTCTCATGTATGCATAGTTTTTTCAAAAATAGATTTTTTTCAGTGCAATAGAACTAATATGTTTTCATCGTTTAGCTAACACACAATACTTTCGACACACATGATTTTGCTCTTATGTTCAGATTATCTAGCTGGTTTTTGTCTTCGTTTTCTCATGGCCATTAAGGAGAACTTGTTGATAAGTCTGCTTACATGATACATGGTTGACCTGAGTTATGAAGGATTTCACATAACACTTCAATTCTACTGTAAGTATAGGGATCATAGCACAGGTGATGTGTGCCATTTCCAATTTCACCATCTTAAAACAATATGCATTTTGAGTCAAAGGTGTTGGCACCTGTCTATGGTCTTTATTGAATAAGCATCTATGCATGATTATTATTATTAAAACTATATGAGAAACTCCTTGTCTACCATGAGAAACATAGCAGCATAAGCAGTTTAGACAGAGCAAGTTCATTATCAAATAACATTCTAACAAAGATCATAGTGAACCAGTCAATCAAATCAACATCATGAATCAGGATGACAATAATAAAGGGTAAAAAAGAAGAAATCAAGCTCAGAGAACCAAAAAATGAAATGAAAGATGCATAACATTAAACACATTTAAGAAAACAGAAAAATAGAACAAAAAGGATAAATAGTATGAGAGAAAGATTGGCAAGTCAGCCCATAAGACAAAAAGATGGAGGAAAATTTTCTAACCTGATATCACTTTTTTCCCTATCATCTATGTACTTTGTTTTCTGTCTTCCCTGCATATAATAAACGGCAGTAGAGAGGTGGTCTTTTCCTACATGCTCATGGGAATAGTGCAGCTGTGGAGAACATGCGTAAAAGAAATTGGGGATCAAATATCAGGTGTAGCAGTTGGTATCAGCAGGAATTTGGTCTGACAGCCAACTCAAACATAGACTGGATGACATAGTCTGACTTTGCTCAGTATGAGTTGCATGATCCAATAAGCTCATGCTTACCAGATGGTAAGTTTACATCCAGTACCTCTAATCTTTTATTATTATCATTTACACTTGCAGTGATGTTTGTCCTTTTTTCTTTTTCTTTTTCTTTTTTCTTCTGTTCTCTGAATATCATGCTTTCTCTCTCTCTC